TTTCAGCAAGATCTAGGTCTGACCCACATGATGGGAATTTGGAACCATTACTTGCATTAGTGAGTTCATTCTAAACAGATGATTTTGATTACACTTTTTAATCTTGGCCTGATAGTATTTAGATTTTGACTTATTTAATAGGTCTTTGTAATCCCTGCAGGCACCCTGATAAATTTCTTTGTGAACCGTTAAATTTGTCTTTCTCCACATACGTTCACGTTGCCATTTTACACGCTTGACGTTTCATAGCTCTTTACCATACCATGGTCATCTCGGTTTAAGAGTAACTGTTCTTTTTGTCACAGGTGCATGTGTATTCATAATCTCTGTGAAAGCATTATTGTAATTTTTCGTTGGAACGTCCACGTCATCAGTGTCACAATTTGTTAAAATCGATGACCCAATATTATCAACGAAATTGTTGACATCAATGCTATTAATGTTTCTTCTTTTTGTAGTGATTACTGTGTAAGGATGTGAACTAATGTTTCTTCAGCATTTATGCTCAGAAACTTCAATCTGACAATAAGGGCAAGTTTTACACTGATCTGATCAGCCTCGTACAGAACACTCCAACAATATGGCAGGGTCAACATCTTTGTCACTTCTAATTTTAGAGGGACAGTACTATGGTGACAACATTCTCTTCACAATCAACAATGATACTGGAACTGTAGTTATACTGGGGATGACGCAGATGTACTGTTCTGCCTTTCTATTGACACACAGTCGTGCTGAATGCTAATAATACACACAGTTGCAAATCCACACAGGACACCTTATTAACATGGCTTCCAGAACACATGGACAGAATTTAATGTGTATTCGTTATCCAGCCGTTTTGCTAGGCTACTACAAAGACGTTTGTTTGTGTTAATATATTACATCACTCCCCCCCTTTTTTTTTTTAAATTAAAGCTTAGTTGTACGAAAATGACAATTGTTAACTGTTAACTATTTTTGGTTATGAATATGGCATATGAAATTTTACTATAACGTAACTATAAGCAACTACTGTATTCTAATAAACAAATGAACTTACTGTATTAAACTACAGTATTTATAAATCTAACATAACTACTGTACACTGTATACTTATCTCAATAGTCTAAGAACATGAAACTCAGGATTATATCAAAACATCACTAACTTGTTATAACATTACTACTTTGTTATAATAATATCACTATCATCATTACAAGTACAGTACATGTATTATTCATGATCTGAGTTATTGGTTTAGTACTTGAAGTATCTAGCATCCGTAGTGATTTCAAAATTGTCTTGTATTAACATAGGCGTATATTTCTTATTATACCTAACAAACTTGTAAACACAAAGTTTTGAATCATAGTAAAGTTTTAAACACACTTCTCTCCTTTCTTTCATTAAGCTGTGCCTATGTGTTAGCAAATAAATGATCAGGATGAATCACCTTCTCTACTGGTCCTATTCTCACTACATATTTTCTGGGACAACGTACCTTTGTAATAATACCCTTTAACCATTTATCCTCTTTGCATGTTGATCTCATATTTTTGACTCTTACGCTTTGATTTAATTGAAATTGCCTTTCCGAATTAATTTTAGGATCTTTGTACAATTTCTGTTGTGCCTGTTTTTCTTCAACATACTGTGAAATATTTGGACTAACTAATGATAGTCTTGTTCTGAGCTTACGCTTCATAAATAACTCTGCTGGAGTAAGTCCAGTGGTACTATGTGGAAGAAGTCCTATACTTAAACAAGAAATTAGCCAATCTATGCTTCATTGATAGCTTGGAGTTACCATCAAGTACTTGCTTAGTCAAAGCCTCTTTTACTACTCTAAGAGCTTGTTCAGCTGCTCCATTAATGGCAGCATGGTATACTGGGCTACATGTATGTTTTATCTTATTTTTATCACAAAAGGATTTAAATTCTGCGCCGTTGTCAGATACCACTTCTTCTCTGGCAAACCATAGCGTGAATACATGAGTTTCAATTCCTCGATTGTTCTACTACTTGTGGTACTTTTCATATGCACCACTTCTAAACATTTACTATGACTATCTATTAAGACAAGAAAATTATTACCATCCTTTTCACAATAGTCGACATGCACTCTTTGAAATGGTCTTGCTGGCCATTTCCACGGAATTAAGGGTGTTGTGGGTGGAGTGCTTCTTACACTTGTTTGACAATTTTTAACAATCATTTCAATATCGGCATCAAGTTTGGGCCACCACACATAGGATCTTGCTATGGCTTTCATTTGACAGATACCTGGGTGTTCCCAATGTAACTCTTTAAGCATTCTTTCTCGCAAATTTGTGGGAATTATAACTCTCTGACCCTAAAGCAAGCAATTTCTCAAGCTATTTAGATATGTAAGGTTTTAGGGAATTTTCTTCACTCATTATGTTACAGACTGACTTTTTTTGGCCAGCCCTCCTTTACATATTTAAGGACTGTGGTTAGTACTTCATCTTTCAACGTGGCATTTTCAATTTCTTTCGCAGTCTGCGGGAAGTCTTCCTCAATTACACTGACATTATAAAGCTTTTGTTCAAGATCTTGTTGCGATTCACCTTTACAGAGCAATCTTGACAGTGCGTCCGCAAGAACATTTTCCTCGGACTTGGTATACTCAATTTCATAATCGTATTGGTTGAGAAGAAGCGCCCATCTTTGAATTCGGCCAGCGGCCATCACCGGAACTTCACTTGTTGGACCAAAAATCTTTAGAAGCGGCCTATGATCTGTTCTAATCGTAAATTTTCTACCCATTAGGTACTTAGAGTAGCACTTAATACCATAGATTATGCTTAAAGCTTCCTTTTCGATCATACTATAGTTCAGTTCACTTTTGGATAAAGTCCTTGACGCATAATGTATGGGTAATTTCGAACCATCATCCATTTGATACATAATCACTGATCCAATTCCATAATTGGCTTGCATCACACTCAAGAATTAGCTTTCGCTTAGTATCATAGTGCGGTAGACATAATTTGCTGCTTAGGCTTTCTTTACACCAATCAAAAGCCTTTTGTTGACTATCTGTCCACAACCACTCAGCATTATCACGAAGCAACTTGTTTAATGGCTGTATTCTCGTAGACAAGTTCGGCAAAAACTTTGAATAGAATTGTACAATTCCTAGGAATGACCTAAGTTGTGCAAAATTTTCTGGTTGCGGTGCACACTTAATTTGATCTTGCCCTCGATTGGTGCAATTCCATGATATATTACTTTAATCCATCAGGAATTGGCATTTTTTGCGGGTTTCAAGCGAACATTGTAATGTTCAAATACTTCCTTTATTACCGCCAAGTTTTCATTTACTGTTTCGGTGCTGATGAGGACATCATCCTGATTACACAAGTAATTTTCGATACCGTTCAATATCTTATCCATTTTGCCTTGAAAGGTCTTTGAAGCTGGCTTTTACACCATATGGTAATTTGTTGTATGAGTAAAGACCTTTATGCGTGTTTATCGTAACATAGCTTTTGTTCTGTTCTAAATTTAGTTGAGCATAAGCATGGGACAAATCTAGCTTAGTAAAAACACGTTTTCCAGCTAATTCAGCATACAGGTCATCTGAGCTTGGAAGATTATACACTTCATCATCAATGAACTTATTGATTGTTACACTATAATCACCACAGATTCTAACTGTGCCATCAGACTTTGGGACTACCACAATTGGAGTTGCCCAATCACTGTATTTGACTTTATGTATTACATTATTGTCTTCTAACTTTTTTAATTAATTTTCAACTTTGCATTTGTTAGCATATGGAACAAACCTGGCTTTAACATACACAGGAGTAACATTTTCTCTAATATTTATGTGAGCTAGCTCATGTCTCGTGCCATCATATGAATCTTCGAACAATTTTTCATACCTTTTAAGCAACACATTTAACTCGGAATTAATAGTTCATTTACATCATTCTGATGTGCACAACTGTTAACATATCTGGAGTGTAGGTTTTTTACTATGTTTTTCCAGTTTAACTTAACAACTGCCATCCAATCAAGACCAAGCAATGTGGGCTTATACCTATAAGCAATCAGCAACATATACCCTCACGGTCGATGACATCACATTTGATTTTACCGATAATATTTAACCCTCTGGATACCGTATTCTTTTGTAGTGCAAACCCTTGAATACCGGATTCTTTTGCAGTGTAACAAGGTTTTTTGCTTTTTTGAGTATACGTCGTTCTGGTGGATTTTTGGGAACTTTCTGTAAATTATACAGAAAAATGTTTCTAAAAACAAAGAAAGCTTATAGAATAAGCTTTCATTTGACATTTGATGTATAATTTATATTTTTGGGAATTTTTTTTCATAATATAATATAATATAATATATATATAATATAATAGAAATTACAGAAAAAATGCTACATATAAATCGTCAGCAAAAACCGAAAAAAAAATAAATTATAGCCAAAAAAAATAAAAACAAATATAAAACATTCCTATTTCACACAGTTATATAATGTATTTACCCAACCATCCATAACTATAAGCGCGATCTTTCCATTCAAAGGCGTCGCCTACCCTCACATTTCTAGGCCTAGGCTCATCTTCATCAAGAATATCTCCGCCGTCAGAACTGCTTGAAGCCCCATCATTGCTTGAAGTCATCATCGCTAACAGGCACGTCTAAGTCTCGCACATCTAAAAATTCACCTTCATCGCTGTCTGAGTCAAAAATCAGGTCAATCGCTTGCTCAGCTGTGTACACATCTTGTGCGGCCATTTCGAAAAATTTTTGAAATTAATAACGATTTCAAATTGATATTTCGAAAAATTTTTATATAAGCGCATGTGAGTTCTTCACAGATTTCGAAAAACAAAAGCTTCACGCATGTGTGTTCAAAATTTCTGACGTATTGGAGCTAAAATAAAAACAAAAGAGCGATTTGAAAACCACCTATTTTTTAGTCACGAAATTTTGATTGCAGTCGAAAATGGGAATTCTCGGTTTGAGGTCGAAGACGGTATCTAGAGGGTTAACTTCTCACCACTATATGTTCTAAGAGATACCATATCATTATTTGTAATTTCAATATTGAGACAGGCTGTATATAGTTGGCCTCCCAAGCTATAAAGTGTGGGGTAGCGGTCGACACGTCAATAACAGACAGTACATCTCAAATAAAGTTCACTCGTATTTATTTATGTAAAAACAGCATCTAGTAAACAGCCTCTGTAAAAGAGATATATCAAAATAACACCACCTGCCCATACAAATATCATAGGCATTGAAATCATTAATTAATCTAACATTTTACAACTTAACATCATACAGTTTAACATCAAGACCAGAGCACTTGAGTTTGTGCTAAATGTAATCGTAAACAGAAGATCCAACTTATCCGTGCATAGTTAATTATGATAACCACATTACATGACATCATTCTAATGTTTATAATATTCAACATAATATTCGGTTACATAAAAAGGATAATATAAAATAGCTTAAATATAATGGTCACTTAATTATAACCACTCACCAGTTTGTGGCGATTACAGAGTGTATTCTGTTCAGGATTTACCATATACGTAGAGTAGTTAATATAATCTATAGAAGTAATAATGATATAGTGTAAGACATAATAAATATAAAAATATGAGAACATAAACACATAATTAATATTCATGTCACATGATATAAGATATGGGACGCCACCTATTGGGCACCATCAAACAATAACAAACAGCGCCACCTATTGGAAAGTATAAAACAGCGCCACCATATGGTGAGCTTTCCTAATCATTTAATCTTAATACAATACTAATGGCGGCCATCTTAAACCAGCCACACATGTAATCCTTATTATCTTATGAGATTACAATAGGTTACTTATACCAATACTATAGGTAAAGTAATGCTTAATAAAATGCAGACTAAATATAATAGAAATACTAACCAAATATAAATAGACATTAGAATAGTTTAAGTAGAACACCTTCTGTATTCATATGTGCATCTAATTCAACAATTAGATTTCAATCAATTGTTAATCAAGCCATAACAATTACAAAAGCATATCTAATTACTCTACTACAATATTTAATATGAGCTAATAGAGTACTTATACAACTAAGGAATTACATTGTAATAGTAACTGTAATTACTTACATTTCTTCTTAATCCTTATACAATTCTTAAATTAACCTTTCTGAATTGTAACAAAAGAGACAGCTTAACAAAGTACACATCTGCTCTCCTCGATGGGTAAAACAAAGGAGAGCGATAAAAAGCTATAAGCTTAGCTTGGCTTGGGTGTCAGAGCAGTACCCCTTTCCTATTGGTCACTTATAGGACGTTCCATTAGTGAATGTTCCATTAATTAATTAGGTAATTAATTACAATAGATACACCATAATAATTACCTCTACAATCAGGAACCCTAACAATATGATTGAAATGCTTATTATACGTATCAATGCTCAGTACAGTATCTGTTTCGTTAAGAAACGATTGTCAGTAGCGCGCATGCGTGGTGAATGTGCATATTTGGAAGGAGACAGCGGCTGCAGGTTCAGTCGAAGTAGACCGAGTACGAAGTGTAATCATAGTGACGGCCTGTTGATGGGTAGCGATAATGAATGTAAATTTAGCCGAGTATGAGAGCCTGAGAAGCTAGAAATCCTGCCAAAGAAGTAAGAATATTTAATTAGTACGATGTAGGGTTTAATCTTGGTTTAGGTTTATATAATATAGGCTTGGATTACGGTAAAGGATCATAATGGATTACTGCGTATCATCAGGGATAGGTATAAAGTGTTTAGGCCTAATAGTGATCGCTAACAGTTAAGCTTTGATTATTTATAGTGAGTAGGCCTAGTTGTGTTTCTGCAGTTCGTAGAACAATCGTATTTGTGTTAGGTAGGCAATAATAACATTCAGTTTAATCAGTTGATATGGTGATAGCCATATTGTGTTGCATGTGTTTACGTGACGTTGGCGACGCTAGTTAAATAGTCGTATGATATAAGGTTGATGTTGGCGGCGCTATTTAATTTACTTAAAAGATGGTAGTTTTTAGTTTTTATAACGCTTGTCATTGTGATATTCTTCTGGTTGTTTATACAGATTGAATAAAACAAGCAATTTTACAGTTGCATTATACATTAAGCAGGAAGTTTCTAGACTGTTCGTTTTCCGAGTTTCTCTGACAAACCAACAATTCAATTTCTCCGGGATGGCGGAAGAGAACGAACAAAGTCTGAGGATGCAACGAAGAAATGCTAAGGCTAAATTTACACGTTCAGCGAATGCAATGAGGACTCTGACAGAGCTGAGTCGTCAGGAAGATGAAGTAAATGAGGTCTTCTCCAAAGTAAGAGAGGCATACGAAATTGTACAGATAAAACATGAGCAACTCATTGATGTTATCGAAGATGATGAGGAATTTGAAAAACAAGAGGATTGGATGTTAGAGTGTCAAGGCAGGTTCCTGGAACTGTCGATTCAAAACAAAGATTACGGCACTGATGGCGATGAGGTTGATGATGGCGAGCAAAATTCCGCGCAACAAGTTGAGCAAAATGAGGCAGTGGATCAAGAAGCTGCAGAGCAGCAGGTTGTGGTCCAGGTAGCTGAAGAAGAACAGAAAGCAGAACCTGTAGTTCCTGATGCGGAAGGTAATGATGGTCATGAGATAGCTGAGGAGGATGGCAATGTTGCGCAAGGTCAAATTGTCATAAAGGTTGATGAAGGAACAAACGACGCTCCAGCTATACCACACATTTCAGCATCAAAAGGAAAGGATTTGTTTAAAATTGAACGACCGAAGCTACCTAAGTTTTCAGGCGACGTGAGGGACTATTACATCTTTCGTGCAGACTTCCGGCAATTTATTGAGTCAAGATATAGGGATAAAGAGGCGGTAACGATTTTGAGATCCAGCCTGAATGGAAAGCCGTTGGAGCTGATTAGAGGTCTGGGGAGGATTACCGAGCAGCATGGAACTATTTGGATGCTGTTTACGGCGATCCTAGGTTCATTGCCGATACGATTGCACAGGATCTAAGTAAATTCAAGCCACTGAAGGAGGGGGCGAAGAAAGTAGATTCTGTGAATTAGCACATTTGATCAACAGGAGCTACAACATCTTAAAGGAAGCAGGCAGACCGAACGATATGGACAATAACCATGTGTTGGCAATGATTGAACAGAAATTGAACATCCAGGATAAGAAATTTTGGTTTCGGCATCTCCTGTAGATAATAAGGAGGCGACATTAAGTAGGCTCATTGACTGGATGATGAGAGAAATGAAATCTAGAATGAGAGCAACTGCTCAAGTTAGATCCACCAGCAATGCCAAGTCGTCACAGGTTAACCAAGTATCAACAGTAACGGGACACAAATGCTGGGTTTGCAGAACAGACAGTCATTGGACAGATAGATGTAATAAGCTGAAAGAGAAGACCCCCTCAAGAGAGATTGAAAGATATAAAGGCTGGCAAGGCTTGTTTCGGCTGTCTAAAGAAACGCCATGGCATAACAGCCTTTAATAGAAAATGCCAGTGTCCAGAAATGCTGAATGGAATTCAATGCAAATATTTTCACCATCCGATGCTGCACATACCAGAAGGGAGTAAAATAGTAGGTACGACCTCTTCAGTGAACATGGAGACAATATTGCCAGTCTTAAAAGTAGAGATGTCGGGAAAGAAAAACATGTGCTGTCAAGCGAATGTACTGCTAGACTCAGGGGCGCAGATCAGCCTTATGAGGAAGCCGCTAGCAGAGCAATTACATCTCAAAGGAAAAGAAGTGGTGACTACTATCAAGAAAGTAGGTGGAGAAGAAGAACAGTTGTTTACAAAGATTTACGAGACTCGAATTCGCCCGATGAACAGCAAGCAAGAATGTATCATTAAGGCCATCGGAATTCCTTCCATAAGTGAAGATGTAGCTGAGATAGGTGTAGCTGATATAGCAAAATGGTTCAAAATTAAGATGGAAGATGTTCATCGTGAGCATGGTAGCATAGATTTATTGATCGGGATTGACTATCCAAATATGCATGTTGGTGAAACTAGAAACGCAGGAAACTTGATCGCTCGTCGATCGCCCTTAGGCTGGGTGATTTTCGGAACAGTAGCTGGAGATCAGACATCAAACAGTGTATTGCATGTGAAGTTTTCAACGCCGGTCGACCTAACCGATTTTTGGAGTACCGAATCTATGGGGGTAACTGTTAAATCATGTTTTTGTAAGGCAGATAAGATTGGATCAGTAGAAGCCGGGGAAGCCAAAATAATATCAAATTCCTGTACCAAATTAGGAGACCAATGGTTGATCCCATACCCATGGATAAAGGATCCAAATCAACTACTGGATAACCGGATACAAGCAGAAAAGTAGTTGCATTACATTGAACGGCGGTTAAGAAGAAACCCAGAACACGCAGAAGCCTATAATAACCAAATCAAAGAGATGGTAGATATGCAATTTGCTAGGAAGTTGTCAGATGAAGAGTTGAAGTCATACGAGGGTCCAGTAAATTATATTTATATATATTTGACTGAAGAACTTGACGTAATCTTAAAAAAGGGCGGATTCAAAGTGAAGGGTTGGTTGTCTAACAAAGTGCTGAAACCAACGGAATCTAATCGAAATGAAGCCACTTCAGAGCTTGAATGATGAGAACGTGCTTGGGACGGTGTGGGATCCTAAAAGAGACCACTTGAAGTACAAAGTGACGAGCTTAGATAACGTTGAACCAAAGCTAAAGCTGACGAAACGGAAGATGTTAAGCCAAATTGCGAAAATATTTGACCCGATTGGGTTTGCAACCGCTTTCTTCATTCGGGCAAAGATAGACATGCAGCACTTATGGCAGAAAGGTGTTGACTGGGATGAAGAGTTACCTCTGCTTCAGCTCAGAGTTGGTGGGTAAAGTTATTTGAAGAAATGAAGGAGCTAAATACGACAAGTTTCCACAGATGTCTAATACCACCAAACACAATTCAAGATCCAGTGCTGTGTGTATTTGCGGATGCTTCCGAGGAAGCTTTTGGAGCTTGTGCGTACATTTGGTGGAAAACCAGTGATGAGAGGTTTGATGTGAGATTTGTGGCGGCAAAATCACGAGTAGCCCCACTTAAAAAACTGACCATTTCTAGGCTTGAATTGCAAGCGGCGTTGACGGCCACACGGCTATACAAGACTATAATGGAGGAAACCAGAATTAAAGTCGGGAAGGCAATCTTTCTAACTGACAGCATGATTGTGTTAGCGTGGGTACGGAGCCAAGCCAGAGGCTTCAAATCATTTGTATCAAATCGTGTTGGAGAAATTCAAAGTGTATCTGACCCATCGCAATGGAGACACATTCCAGGCAATTACAACGTAGCAGATGATGTGTCACGTGGTATATCAGTGAAGCAACTTAAGGGGAGATGGCAACACGGCCCAAAGTTCTTGTTCTTACCCGAGAAAGATTGGCCTCAAGAAGCATCGATGGTGGATCGGCGAGAAGTAGAAAAGAGCAGAAAACTGGACAAAGTATTTTCCTGACGCATACGTGTCCAGACATCATTGATTCCAGTAGAATTTCGTCATGGAATAAGTTAATCAAAGTGACGGCGTACGTACATCGTTTCATCTGGAAGATGCGTTGTAGACGAAGTGATGAAATGGTAATCAAGGATAGTTCGCTGTCACCGCAAGAGTTGGATGAAGCAGAGAATTATTGGATTCTCAAAGCACAGCAGTCTTTGCACGAACAAGTAAAGAAAGGAGAAATCAGAACGCTGAGTCCGTTCGAGAAAGAGGGTATTATTTACGTTGGGGGTAGAGCATAGTGATGCAGATAACTTGATTGCATATGACAGTAGGCACCCAGTACTTCTACCCAAGGAACACTACATTTCCTATCTCATAACTCGTTATATGCATGAGCAGGTTCACGGCGGGGTAGCGGTCACGGCCGGCAAGGTGCGAAAAAGGTATTGGATCATCGGAGTTGCTAAGTTGGCCAAAACTATCAAGTTTCGGTGTGTGAAGTGTAGAAGAATGGGTCGTCAGACTGAGAACCAGTTAATGGCTGATTTGCCAGCTGAGCGTTTAGCACCGTTCACACCACCATTTCTTTACACAGCTTGTGATTACTTTGGGCCATACTCAGTTAAAGTTGGTCGCAACAAGGTAGCGAAGCATTATGGCGTCATATTTACTTGTTTAAATACTAGAGCGGTACACCTGGAGGTTGCAGTTGATTGTTCTTCAATGGAATTTCTTCAAGTGCTATGCCGATTCTTTGCGATCAGAGGGCAACCGCTTATCATTTTAAGTGACAATGGCACCCAATTTGTGGGTGCAGAGAAGGAACTGAAAAAAATGGTCAAGGGGTGGAACTCAAAGGATTTTGTGCGGAACGACGGGTGCAGTGGAAATTCACCACACCATTGGTGCCTCACCAGAATGGGTGCGCAGAGGCAAAATTGCAAAATTGCATTAAAAAAGGCTATAGGAGAGCAGACTTTGACACCATTCGAGTTGCAGACTTGCTTCATGGAAGTGAGTAATCTGGTGAACCAACGACCGATAGGAAGGATACCTAACGATCCTGACGATGGGAGTTTTCTGTGCCCAAATGACATTTTACTGGGTCGAGCTTCGAGCAGAACGCCGCATGGACCCTTCCGACAGACAAAAAATCCAAGACACAGTTGAATTTGTGCAACGTATCGTTGACAGTTTCTCGAGATGCTAGACTCGAGATGTATTTCCCTTGTTGATGCCACGGAAAAAATGGAATACCGACCGGAGAAACGTGAGAGTGGATGATGTAGTTATAGTTGCTGACCCTAATGCAATTAGGGGAAAGTGGACTCTAGGAAGAATTAAGGAAGTGTATCCTGGTAATGATGGAAAAATCAGAAATGTTCAGGTCAAAACTGTAAATGGACAATATTGTAGACCAATAACTAAAATTATTGTTATCTACCCGGTTGAAGGTTATGAACAATAGATATACTTCCACTAGTTTTAACGTGAACGTTGAATAATTAAAGTAGATTACCATAAGTAATTTCTCCATTGAGAGGGGGGAGGATGTTTCGTTAAGAAACGATTGTCAGTAGCGTGCATGTGTGGTGAATGTGCATATTTGGAAGGAGACAGCAGCTGCAGGGTCAGTCGAAGTAGACCGAGTATGAAGTGTAATCATGGTGACGGCCTGTTGATGGGTAGTGATAATGAATGTAAATTTAGCGGAGTATGAGAGCCTGAGAAGCTAGAATGTTCTGATTAGTCAGTTGTTAAGTTTGATTGACACTCCGGAAAGGTCTATAGAGGGAAATGGCGAACCGAAATGACGTCACAGAAATTTGGTAAGTTGGGTATAAAATATAACAAATCGAAACTCGCTATGTTATTGTGTATGAGGTGTGTTGAAAAGGGTAAGTAAACGAACGTTTTAAACACATTTAAAACAGTAGCATGGCATTTTTTTACAATGCCCTGTAACATTTTATATTGTATAGGCAGATTTCAACACATTTTAGTAATTTGTATTTAAATAAAACCGTAAACTGGCGCATTTGTGTCACCTACCAGTCAACCAAGTGCTAGGCCAGGCTTACTTAGGTCTAGAAAGTCCACGCGAAATGATCCCAGCCCAGGCACGTCTGTGTCTGTACCTACCCACTGCTTCGTTGGTAACTGGATAATTAGTGTTCGTTTTATTTTTTTGACCCAAGTATAGTCCATTATTGTGGTATTATAATAGGTTTACAGTACATTTTACAGTATTAACAAAGTGTAATTTTCTAGCTTGACTACTGTAGGCCCCTACTGTACTGTTGGCATTGTAGCCTACTGGTTGTACCCTACTGTAGGCTAGCTAGATGTGGCAGCTTGGGCTGGTCTAACAATAATTAATACTGTAGTTGATTTTGGTTAAGTCTATTTTACTTTTACACAACTTTGTTAAAGCTTTATTTTTCAAATCTTCATGTAGTTTTAATGTTTATTTTTCAGTTTGCAGTGATGCCACACTCTGTATAGCATTTGATTGCAACAATTTATCAACTGACCATCCTAATCTGTCATATCACAGTGTGCCGTCAGATAACCGATCATTAAGGGATAAGTGGTTTAATCGGATTAAAAGAGATAAACGTCATTTGGCATTAACTTTGTCTGCCAAAGTGTGCTGAAGTCATTTCCATAAAAGTGATTTCATTAACCCAACATCCAAAAAAAGGCGGCTAAAACCAGACAGTGCCCCTTCCAAATTTGCCTGGACATCACCTGCGGCTGGTGAGGAATCATCTTCAGATGATGATATAAGGCCTGCAGTTCAAAAACTTACAGATTTTAGAGATGAAGTAGAGGATGAAACTTATGCCTCTGTACAGACAACTTGATTACATGGAAGAAGAAAAAGAAGAAGAATGTCATCATGCATTTTCAGTTAATCAACTATACTATAAGTGTCATACGCAACAAATGGAGTACAAATTATTTATGCATTTTACTGGTTTTCCATAAAAACAGCGCTTTGTTGATTTTGCACAATTTATTATTCCAACGTTTGACTATGATGATATTTTTTATTGGAAAACTAAAGCATGTAAAAGAAGGCGGATTGATATGGAAGCAGTACTTGAGAGTGGTTTGGAAGAAAACCATGAGAGCGATAATGAAGATGATACCCGTCCCAAAAGCCATAAGATGACAGTTTGGAATGAACTGCTCCTGGTGTTGATTAAACTTAGAACAGGATGTTCAAATATTGATCTTTCAGTACGCTTTAATATTGCTGAAGGAACTGTATCTAATAAAATTATCACATATGTTAATCTTCTATATACAACTCTTGGCTCTCTCAAAATATGGCCACATCGTGATATATTACTGAAACATGCACCAACGAAGTTTAAAAAAAATTACCCAAATACTGTTATCATAATAGATGCTACAGAGCTGTTTGTTAATGTTCCAAGTTCACTACAAAAACAAAGCGAGTGCTACTCACATTATAAGCACCATGCAACACTCAAAGGACTTCTCGGTGTTGATCCTAAGGGAGGAGTTATCTTTGTATTGCAACTCTTTGAAGGATCAATTAGTGGTAAAGAGCTTGTTAACAGAAGTGGGTTTCTGAATATTTTAAAATCAAAAATAAATTGTGGTGAAATCCTTAAAGGTGATGTCATTATGGCCGATCGTGGATTTCTTATTGAGGAAGAACTAGTTGCAATGGGGTTGCAGTTAAATTCACCACCTGTTTTGCGAGAGAAGGGCAGTTTCAATGTAAATGATGTCATTAGAATTCAGACTGTTGCAAAACATCGTATTCACATTGAAAGAGCAATTGGAAAAATCAAATGCTTTAGGATTTTCCAATCTGCTATTCCAATAGCAATGTTTGGAACAATCAATCAAATATGGAGTGTTATATGTTTACTGTCAAACTTTCAGGACCCTATTCTTACAACAAATGAAAATATGAATGAATATGTAGATTTTAGAGTTGATACAAACAGAGCAAATTAATATTTTCAAGTACTGCTTTATACTAAAATTTAATGAAAACTTACTGTTATGGCCATTTTACTTATTTTGCATTATTTCGCATTATTGTTGCTACGGCAAACGCGCGTATGGTTTATACGCGCGTGCGTAGAGAATAATACGAAAGCATCTTAAGATTCATCTGTTTTATCGATCCCAAGCCGAGCACACCTTGTAAGTAGACTTAATTATATGATATATAAATATAACTTAATTATAATATAATTTGGAAGTTTAGATGATTGTTTTAGCATGTATTTTTAATATAGGCCTTGCATGCCATTATGGGATATGAGGACCAATTCGTAAGTCTTATTAATTGTTATTATGATTAGTTATTGATTGATTTATTATCTATTGTTACTATTTTGTAGTTCAATCGTGACGTTGGTTAGACTGTATTTTGTTACGTTGTTAGACGGCGTATCATATGTACCGTACTGTTGGTTGGAAATGGTATCTTTTGTACCGTTATATTGGAAAAAATAAAGTTAACCAGCAACGCATTGAAAACATCTGTCTTGGTGTTTTATTGGGGTCGAAATAGACGAAACAATGTACATATTGCAATAATAAGTGTACAGTTGTATACATAATGAAGTACAAAATAGTTATATCTGGGTTATTGCAACCAACTGCAATAGTACATTCATATTCTACCAATATCACTTGTTCACTTCATGTTTTTTTCCCTTCACCAACAGGGCAGTATTTAAATTCAACAATGTAAATAAGATGCATACGTTTACAGTACATCCCCTTGGTTTCACTGCATTTAGGCAATACATTGTACTGTAGTAAGAAATAATGGTGATTCCCATTTGCCCTTGGATTTGTTCATCATAACCCATTTTATGTTTTTGTTTCAAGGCAAGTTTGTTATCTATCCGATGAATATAAAAGCTGTCATTGCTTATAGTTTCTTCCATTTTTTGGCTTTTTTGGATCAAAGGGCACTTAATTTCTACAAGTCCATAACATGCATTTGAAGAAGGGTCATAGACTTTCCCATCTGGTGTAGCACCAAGGTGTGGTAAATCTGGATTAATGACTAGTCCACTATCAAAAACCCTGAAATTAGTTACTCGTTTAACACACTCAGTTGCATATATTTTTAAAGCCGTCTTTTCATTTAAATTTCCGTGGCTAACAGATCGGATATGTCCAATATCTTTTCTACTAAATAATGCTTTGTAGAATGTTTCATTAGCACCTTTCACACGACTATTGATTTTCCCAAAGTTTGATTATGTCAACCGTAAGCTCCTTCGGTCTCGCCATTCAATGGAGTTTGATTGCAAAACAGTTCGCCTTTCTATGGCTTGTGCATCTTCTAGATTTATGGCCATCTTTCCAAACCACTCTTTGTCCATATTCTGAATATTATAGCGTTCACAACCCATGGGTAAATCTGGAAAACCTTTACATTCTGCCATGTGAATAGAAGGCACGGGGTCATCAGAGAAAAATATTGTCACTCTCGGTTTACCTGCATCTTTTGCCAGTTGATAAGACAAACAAGAGCCTAGAGGCACATTTCCCAGTGGTGTTTTATATATTAAAGATGGTTCCTCATCACTTAATAAATAGGAAAATGGTGGTGGAGATGTTACATTACAATTTTCACTCATGTCACTAATGGCAGGAATAACTCCAATATCATCAAAAGTCTCCTTTAAAAATTTGGAACGCGGGTCATACAATTTACTAAAAACTGGTAGCCTCTTTCTACCACGCCTGTCAGTTTCTGCATTGGCATAATGTGTACCCATTACAGGTAAAGGCATGATTGGGTCCTGCCTAGGTATGTGCCACTCTTGTGACTTACTTGTACACGAAATATCGAACGGTTTTTCACTTAAGCCGTCTGAACTATAGTCCAAAAACTGATAAATTATGGCTAGTACATGGTTACACAGCCCTCCTGACCCTGCAATACAAGAACAATGAGCTTCCATAAGTTGTGCTCTTCCCTCAAAACTCGTAAAGAATATGTTAATAGTAAGCGGACTTTGTCGTTTTCTTTGGCTTCGATGACAATTTGCCATGATAACATAAACATCCGTCGCCATAGGCATGTCAGCAATCACCGCACCGTGTACGTATTTCTCCTTAAAGAAAGTCCACGATTTCCCATCCGTCTCTTTTACTCCTTTATATATATATCCAATCGCTCATAGTGAGCTGAGTAAATTTTGGAATATCTACTAGTGATTTTTTAAAGTTTAAGTTCCATTTGAAATTACAAATACAGCAAGAATCATGGGTATCACAGCAAAAACATTGAGAAGCGGCCATGATTGTTATGATAGGAAGATAGGAAATTAGCGCCCTTAACGGTTTATTATGATTTTATACCATAGAGCTATTAAACAACTAGAGTGCTGACAAGATGGCGAAGCAATGCAGAGTTGCGTATGCGTACCATCCAAGATGGCTGCTGTAGGAAAGCGCCACCTTCAGGCTTACTATACATATTATTACCATAGCCCTCTGACTGACTATTATTTCATTAATGATAATTAGTATTAATAATAACAAATTATTAAATTATCGTAGCCAAAAAGAGGCCAAGTAGAGCATCTTATTCAAAAATAATACAAAAATTAAAAATCGTGTACATTACATCCATACGCCGCAAGGCTCGAGTTTCAAACATACGGGTAACTAGCTGTACTAAACTTTCTGTGTAAATTGAGCGCGTCATTAAAAATGATAGTGCTTAAGCGAAATTTGATTGGCTGAATCTATGGCAGCCATCTTGGATGGTACACACACACAGCTCTGCGTATTTCGAACATCACGCCACGCCCTCTGCCTCGCATGTTTTGTCTGCCTCTGTAACTACCTACTCTTTTATCAGCAAAACATTCACTAGCATAATGTCCAACTCGCGAACATTTATATCAGGTTCTACCATTTCTTCGCAGGACACTGAGTTGGTGGATGATAAGGTTTACCACCGCATTTTTTACATTTACTTTCATGCATAGGTTGTTGCATAGGTTGTTGCTTACCTCTCCCTCTTGTTGCCGTTATTTTATTCACGGTTGAATGATTCACAAAGGGGTTATCTTTTTCTTCAATTTTACCTGCTTGTAACTCAGATGTTTCAAGAGATCTTGCCTCACTAACGACATCATCAAGTGTCCAATTAGGATGCTTTAATATGTCACGTTTGAATTTTTTATTACTTGTTTTTTGGAAGATTTGTGCTTTTATTTCTGCTGTTGGATTTTCAAACCCACAGTTTATGGCCTCTGACTTCAATCTAGTAATAAATTGCTCTACCGTTTCACCTTGCTTTTGTTTAAGCTCCCTAAACAGATATACTGCCAGTGCTGTATTTTTGATCGGTTTAAAATATTCGTCAAGCTTTCTTATGACATCATCGTAAGTGTCATTGCCTTCAGCCATTGTTTTGTAAATCTCGTAAGACTTCTCCCCAAGAAATAATAACTACTGCGCTTTCTTTCGGTCATTATTGCGAACTTGCTTTGCCACAAAGTAAGTTGCCATTCTCTTCTTTCATCTATCCCAACGTGGGCCTGTAGACTTTCGATCTTCGTCCGGATCAAACGGTTTTATGCAGTTCGAAAATGGATATATAATTATTGTAATATGTTATAATATTATCCCATCCTCGTCGCCAGTTCTACTGTTCTGCCTTTCTATTGACTGACACACAGTCGTGCTGAATACTAATAATACACACAGTTACAAATCCACACAGGACACCTTATTAACATGACTTTCAGAACACATGGACAGAATTTAATGTGTATTCCGTTATCCAGCCGTTTTGCTAGGCTACTACAAAGACGTTTGTTTGTGTTAATATATTACAGCAGACACAATAACAAAGACCAAAACAATTAATTGCTATATTCAATATTTAATTACGCACACACACCCGCACACCCACACCCACACACACACACACACACCACTATAAACAAAGTAAAATACAAGTTAAGCCAGGCCTGTCAATAAAGAATTCCTTTATTTAAAAAATCACTCAAAACGCACTTATTCCAACAATAACATGAAGTGCCACTGATAATTACTTCGGTTTTTTAAATGGCGCTATATAAGTTCTTATTTTATTATTATAATTTATGAGATTTTACCAAACTATCCTACGTTACGCAAATTCGCATGTGTAGGTGGATACTGTATCTACTGTACCAGGAGCATTTGATCAGAATGCTCGTACTTAACTCGTATCTAATTCTGTAAAAACTTGTTATTACTTGTTATTATTACCTCTCCCACCTTTCCCACATTCACGATTTTTGCTACGATGGAGCACGATTTGAAAAAGTTTTAAAATCGCGCTCTATCGTAGTGATTCGTACTCAAAAATACGTCGTCCATATTTTAGACAGTATGAACACTTACTAGTAGAGTTAAATAGAGAAGACCCAATAGGCTTCAGAAACTTCCTCCAAGTGAGCAATGAATTGTTCAGTGTGTTGAAAAACTTTTCTGACACAGAGCCACGTGATATAAACCACGGTCTTGATGGTATCCTGGTGGCATCGTATCTAATCGTCTCAGCACCGCAGAGACGTTTTAACTTGTTGTAGGTGTTGTTGGTAGTACGAATGGGCAAGACACTCAAGACAAACGACGACAACGTTATGCCACTCACATGATGCCGCTGCGGTAGACAAATATCTTTTTCACGGCTACGATTGAGCACGATGTTTTTGAACATTTTAAAAAAATCGTGCTCCATCACGATGACATCAAGATCCAGTACGATGCAATACGATAAATTATTTTTGACCACGACATTTACGACGACGCCATTGCGATTTTTCAAAATTGAAAAATCGTGTTCTGTTGAGTGAGGTAAGACTTTATGGAGTTGGTTACGAGTTATGTACGAATTATGCCAAGCAGAGCACCAAGTTAACTACGAGATTATTACGAGTGTAACAACTTTGTACCGAATTAGATACGAGTTAGGTACGAGCCAACTCGGTGCGCTCGTACTTGTTTTGGGGTGCTCGCATTAAACTGCAGATGACAAAACCGCCGAGGAGTATCCAGAGTAGTGTACGAGCTAGGTAGAAGTAGCCCGAGTTCTTCGAGTTTACTAGAGTTATCTACTCGTGGCGATAATTTTGAACATGTTGAAAATTAGCTCCACGAGTTCAGAGCTGCTACGAGTAGGTAGAGTTCTCCCCGAGCTTTCCGAATCATCCTACGAGTTTTTGCCGAGTAGCCACTTGGCAAACTCTTGTAACTCGTATGCTGATAAATAAAACCCCTAGTGTGAGAGGGGAGTGTAATAATCCTGTGAAGCTTAGGTATGTGTTATTAGTAACAGGAACAGTTGTCCTGGTAATAGGATAAGGATATCACTGTCAATGTAATATATCTATTAACCGGAAATACCATGGTGTACTGTAGTGCATACAGTACAATGAATAGGCAATTATACATGAGAGTACAATATCAATACCCCCACTTACTCTCATGATGTTAATCCATTAAATCATTAATCATTTTCCACATCATCGTATCTATAGAATTAGGCAGTACACACGCTCCCGCTGGAAGCCTCTTTTTAATTTTAGGTATAGGTTTAACTCCGATGTTTTCCACAAATTAGGAATTGAGCCTGTGTCTAGCATGGACTGAAATATTGAACTGAAAATTGGTGAAAGTTGTATACCGTCTGGGCCAGTGGCTTTGTTTATTTTAAGTTTACTAAATATTTTAGCTACATCCTGTTCACTTATCAGCTCTTCATAATCAAGGTCATTGTTGATTTCTTTGAGTTCATTAATTAATTCGTTCTCAGCCTTTTAAATTTTGGTCATTAATCTACAGAAAAATTCATTTAAACTATTTACAAATTCATAATTAAAGTCATCCTAATTGTTATTTTTTTGTTTTGTTTTTCTAATTGGTTTTAAGGTTCAGTACTGTTTTCAATGCTGCTCTTCTTGAGTGGTTCTCTTTGAAATTGTTCTCCATCTTCTCCTTTTGTTTAAGAGCATACCTAATTTGCTCGAGAAGCTTAAAATCCATGCGCATTCGTAATTGAGATCAGATATAGTTTGTTGCAATTTTTTTTTTCTTTTTCATGTGATTTTGATTGTCCCTGTTGTATTTTTCCATGTTTATTTTTCTATTTTTATAATATATTTTTATGATATATATTTTTGTATTTAATGTTTTGGATATTACTGCCATTGTCAGCGAAAAAAACTGCCTACAGCAATTAAGTTTGTTTTTTGTTTATCTTACCATCGATAATGGTATTGTCTTGTCCTTTTTGTGCTTTTGTATTGTTGTTTGAATTGGTGAAATAATGAATTTCATTGAAGTAGGAGCTTATAAATTACCATAGTGAAGGTGATTTTGACTGGACTATAATTATCTTCTTAGTCGTACTGTTTGTATTTCATATGATAATGTTCAAGTCCGTCATTTTTGGCTAGATCACTTGTAAGATCTTACTTATATTAGCTGATGTTGTGGTATGTAACTTTGTGATTTTAAGTATTTACAAAGATTTTTTTTTCAATTTTTAAAGCATCATATTGCAAAGCCGAACGTAGACAAATGGGTTCCTACATTTACTGGTTGCGTGATTACCCTGGTTCAGATGAGAGGACAGTAGCATATGGATGTCCATTTGGGAGTCATTTTTTGGGAGCTGCCCACCCAACAATTGGAAGTGGATTACCTCTTATAATACAACATTGCAGACAAGGTTACTGGAACGGAACCAAACCTATATGCGACTCACGTAAGGCAAATTCAACAAATTTACTATTAATGGTCAAAGTAGGCCTATTGAGAACTGGGAATTATGAATATCATTATCTCAATTGATATGTAAAATTAATAATTTGTATTAATTGTATAAATTACATAATGTAATATCCTATTTAAAGATGTACTGTCCCTTGAAAATGACCAAAATAAAAAAAAAATAATATTTAAATTAACTTGCTCATTTTGCAGTAACATACAAATTATTAACTTGATCATAGAAATAATTAAATTAAAAAAATGTGTTCCCTGATTTTTTAACTGGATAATTGTAATAAAGATAATAAAACAATTCCAGTGACTGGAAGCGTTTCAATCAATTTTCACTGTATAATGATGGTTTTTATGGGTAAGCATTTTTTTAATACACTGATTTCTATGTTCAAGTTGATAATTTTTATGTTACTTAAAATGGGCAAGTAAAATATGTCAAAAATTATTTTTTTGTTTTTGTTTTTTGCAAGGGCCCAGCTAGCAAGCGACGTTGACCCGACGTTGGTTGAAGGTCGAATAATTACGTTGGCACAACGTACTTACACAAAGGTTGGCCCGACGGCCGTTTTTCCATCGGCCCAACGTGGATTCAGCTTGTTGGAAAGACGTCGGCCCAACTAGTTGGATCTACGTTGGCCCGATAATGTTTGTGCAACGTCGACCAATCACGTTGGCCCAACGTACCTTTCTGATGTTGCCTAGACGTTCGTTTTTCCATCGGGCCAACGTCGATTCAGCCAGTTGCAAAGACGTCTATCCGACTAGTTGGATCAACGTTGGGCCGACGTTGGTTGAAGGTCAAATAATTACGTTGGTACAACGTACTTACACAAAGGTTGGCCCGACGGCCGTTTTTCCATCGGCCCAACATGAATTCAGCTTGTTGGAAAGACGTCAGTCTGACTAGTTGTATCTACGTTGGCCCGATAATGTTTGTGCAACGTCGTCCAATCACGTTGGCCCAACGTACCTTTCTGATGTTGCCTAGACGTTCGTTTTTCCATCGGGCCAACGTCGATTCAGCCAGTTGCAAAGACGTCTATCCGACTAGTTGGATCAACGTCGGGCCGACGTTGGTTGAAGGTCAAATAATTACGTTGGCACAACGTACTTACACAAAGGTTGGCCCGATGGCCGTTTTTCCATCGGCCCAACGTGGATTGAGCTTGTTGGAAAGACGTCGGCCCGACTAGGTGGATCAACGTTGGCCCGATAATGCTTGTGCAACGTCGTCCAACCACGTTGGCTCAACGTTCGTTTTCTACTGTTGTCTAGATGTTCGCTTTTCCATCGGGCCAACGTCAGTTCAGCCAGTTGGAAAGACGTCGGTCCGACTAGTTGGATCAACCTCGGGCCGATGTTTGTGCAACGTCATCAAACTACGTTGGGCCAACGTTCCTTTTCTGATGTTGTCTAACGTTCGCTTTTCTATTGGGCCAACGTCGATTCAGCCAGTTGGAAAGACGTCGGTTCGACTAGTGGGAGCAACGTCGGGCTGATATGTTTGTGCAACGTCATCAAACTACATTGGGCCAACGTACTTTTTCTGATGTTGCCTAGACGTTCGCTTTTCCATCGGGCCAACGTCGATTCAGGCAGTTGTAAAGACATTGGTCCGACTAGTTGAG